TCCCTCCACCTATGATACTCTGGGCTGATCCACCCATGCCAACCCAAATGTCTATATTGTTACTTACCACCTTGTTAGGTGTTATCTCCTTGGAAAGCAGGGACAGGATCCTAACATTGTCCTAGCCCAAGAAATCTAATAGATATTCAATAATTTGTTTGAATGAGTATTGAATGAAATTCATTAGACAATTGGAAAAAAATGAATGAATCTTGACACTTCTGCTCAAAGCCTCCTGCTGACTTCCTATCACGCTCAAAGGCCAAAGCCAAAGTCATTACAGTAGCCCAAAGGCCCCCTGTGACCCAGCCATCTGCCACCTGTAGGACCTCATCTCCTATCAGTCTTACCCTTGCTCATATCTCTGGTCTTCTGTTTCCTTGAACACACCAAGCATACTCTTTCTTCAAGCCCTAACATGGCTTCCCAGATTTAGCAAATAAGATACAGCATGCTTAGCTCAAGTTTAATTTTAGAATTTTTTTTTAGTATATAAGTATGTCCCATGCAATATTGGGGATACACTTATACTAAAAATATTTTTTTATCTGAAGTTCCACTTGAACTGGGCATCCTGTATTTTATCTGGCTACCCTATGTGGTGATTCCTCTTCACAGACCGTGCTTTCCCAGGGCATCTGCATGGCTCAGTCCCTCACTTCCCTCAGATATCACCCCATTAGAGAGGCCCACTCTTGGCACTCTGTCTAAAAGGGCACATCACCATCAACTCCATCCCTCTCGATCCCCATTCCCAGCCTAATTCTTCTTCTTAGTACTTATGACAACCTGACAGAGAGTATTTTTATAGGCTATTGTCCATCTTCCCCACCTTGCACATCCACCCCATATGAGTGGGAACTTGTTTCATTTACTGACATTTTTCTCATTCCAGGGACAGAGTCTGGCGCAGGATAGGCCCTTAGTAACTACTTGTTAAATAAATAAATTTTAATAGCTTATAATTTGCTTTAAATTGTTGATTTCTATAGAGACGATTTGCAGGTAAGAATTTAAGTTTTAAATTTTAATATTGTTCTCCTTCAAGAATAATACTCCCTCTCGCCTCCCCTTCACCCATCATGACAGACCCTCTCAATATGAAAATATCTCAAGCAAGAAGGGGATTTACCTTGATTCTTGGGCTTCTTCACTTGAATCTTTTCCCTTCTTTGTTCCATGCTGAATGCCAACTTAGAAACATGGAAGTTTTTTTTTTAAATATAGTTGATATACAATATTATGTTACTTTCAGGTGTACTACGTAGTGATTCAACATTTGTGTATGTTACGGAATGATCACCACAGTAAGTCTAGTAGCCATCTGTCCCCATACAAAGTTATTACAACATTTTTGACAGTATTCCTTATGCTGTGTATTACATCCCTGTGGCTTATTTATTTTATAACTGGAGGTTTGTACCCCTTAATCCCTTTTAATATTTTGCCCACCCCATACCCCTCCTCTCTGGCAACCACCCATTTGTTCTCTGTATCTATGAGTCTCTTTTCATTTTGTTTTGTTTTGTTTTTTAGATACTGCATATGAGTGAGATCATACTATATTTGTCTTTCTCTGTCTGACAGTCAAGTCCCACTGATACTTGAATTAGAGGACTTGTTTGACCTTGAGTTTTCTTGAGATGTCCTGTGGACCAATTTATCTGTAATTGACAATCTGGGGAGGACAAAAACGAACACTAGTAATTAAGGGGATGACCCATGTTATTTCATCCCATGTTCCACTTTTCTACTTGTCCCTTGCCTGGGGATAGGGAGAGAATTGTCTTTTGTTTTATTATAGAGTTCAGGTAGAAGGAAAATTGTAGCTATTATACCAGCTGCTGGCTAAGGCCTACTGTTCTAATTCCTATTTGTCTAGCACTTGAAGGATGAGGCATATGTTTGGAAACATTTAATAGGCAGGTACCCTGGGTTCTGCAAAGTTGACAACAAGGAACGAGAATCTCAGTTCTTCTTTCTAGTACCCAACAGGATAGCTTTTACCTTCTGAATCTTTACCCAAAGCAGATATTCGAGCCAGGATCACACTGGTGGTCAGTTGACTAAATGGGGCTCAGAAGAGCCCAAAACTCCAAAGCTCTCCAACAGTCCAATAGTGAAGAGTCTCTGTGACTTTCTTCTGCCCCTACCACCACTACATTAGGCAGGGTTCCATCATCATGTACCTGACTCCCTGTCAACTGACACTTGATTCCAGGCTCTGCCTCAGGAATCTGGAGGTCCCTGCCAGACACTAATCTTCACGATTTCTTTCACTTGTTCAGAAATTGTAGTGATGATGTAGCCTTGGCCCCATCAAGGGTCTTCTGCCTGGCTTTCAAAACCTTCCATCATCTACTTTTTCCCCACCAGATCAGCCTCCATCCACCCATCTCTCTAATCTCTACCTTCCTTTCTGGTCTACATCCCTCTCCAGGCATCCTTTTAGATGCTCCTTTTGCCATGTCTATACCCTGAAGCTCGCCTCACCTTTAAGATCCTCTTAAGCCTTTATTGATCTTTCCTTAAAGGCCCCGAAATTCCAAATTTATCATTTCATTATATACTTACTGCATTTTAAACTTTTCTGTTGTCTTTTTTTCCCAAGTAAATTGTAAGTGCCTTGAGATCTTGAACATTTGTATGGAAAATGAAAACTATACCTGATGATTTATTTGTAAATGGCCCCAGTGGCATGACACTTAACACTAACTCCTAAGTTCATAGCTATACCTTTGGTTCTCTCTTATAAGCAACTAGAAGAAGAGGGGTCTTTGTTGGTTCAGTGACTTCCTGACACTGGACTTTAGACAAGCTTATTTGACCAAAGTTGGGAAATCTGTAGTATCTTGACACTGGCTCAGTAAGAGCTGGTTTGTAGCCTCTTTTTGAGGAGTCAAAAATAAACATGTATGTGCTTAACACTGATTATACGTTATCTTTAATCCTTACTACAAACTTATGCAAAAGGATTGTCATCCTCATGTTAAGGGTTTAGAAGAGCTTAGTCAGGTAAGAAATGTGCCCCAGTTCACGGAGTTAGTCAGGATTTGAATTACAGGCTGGGCTAACTTTCAAAGCATCTCCAATTCATTTTGTAGGTATTAGAGATCATAAGCACCAACACCATTATTATAGACATGGGTGAACAAAAGGGCGTGGGCTCAGAGGAGCTGACTGTCAAATGTTCAAACAAACTGGCAGCATCATACACCCAGGAATTAGTCAATACATTATTTCTTTACATTCCCATGGATATTGGAAAAAACTCAAATCACACAGTTTTCAGAGAACACCACATTCACTCAAAATTTTGGCTTGCTGAACCTAAGAGTGCTCAGGAGATATTCAACATCTAAATATGATTGATTGTCTTCTCTGGGGGGGAGGGGGGAGGGAGTAATGTTTTACTTTTCCTCTAGTTTGTTAGAGCCTTTTTTTTTTTTTTTAAAGATCTTCCTTTAGAAGTCTAAATGCTTAATCAAAATAAGTCCTGGGACCCCGCAGGGCTTCATCTTACACAGTTGCATTTAAAAAATGCATGGCTCAATAGGCAAAAATATCACTTAATGGAAATTTCATTCTTTACTTGCATCTCTTATAGAATATCAAAAGAGATCAAATTCACATATCCAAATCCTATTTCCTCTTACACCTATTTCTCTTCTACTCTGAAGCTGTTTTGAAGCCTCTCATTTACCAAAAGCAGAGTTGCAACATTCCTAAGTGTGGGAAATTAAAAATAGCCACAACTTTTTAAAAAACTATTTTATTTATTTCTTTGGCTGTGCCGGGTCTTAGTTGTGGCATGAGGGATCTTTTATGCCGCATGTGGGATCTTTAGTGGCAGCATGCAAACTCTTAGTTGTGGCATGTGGGATCTAGTTCCCTGACAAGGGATTGAACCCGGGCCCCCTACATTGGGAGCATGGAGTATTAACCACTGGACCACCAGGGAAGTCCTGGCCACAACGTTTTATGCCTCTCTAAATCTGTACCTGTTGCAATGTGATTTTGTAGCTCCTCTTGTTGAGGTAGAAGTGACTGTGTGCCAATTCCAAGTTTCGACTTCAAAAATTACCTTGTCCATTCCCTCTCTCTCTCTCTCTCTCTCTCTCTCTCAGCCCTGACATGACTATGTGAACAAGCACAGGCTAGCCTTCTGGAAGATGACTGGAGGAGAGCCTTGTTGTTCCATCTGAGAACATTCTAGACAAACATACAGCCAACCAACCACCAAACATGTGACAGTATAGCCAATATCAGCAAAGCCAGCCAGCAGCCAGCCCACCAACCCATCACCTACGCACGAGCAAGCTCAGCCAAGACCAGAAGAGCCACCCGACGAACAAATTCATGAGCTAATTAATGTTTGCTGCTTTAAGCCACTGCCTTTTGGAGTGCTTTGTTACACAGCAATAGCTAACTGATGCATTAGTGAAAGAGGGAAATCAAAGCTGGAAGCAGAAGGGAAATAGAAAATACTCATAAATAAATTTTGTTTCCTTCTGGCAGAAGCTGATATTTATCTGTGAGAGTTTCTAACAGTCAGCGATACTGGCTTCAGTGTTATCATTTTCTTCTTCTTTTGGTCCAATCTACCAAAATAACTCTGGTCAAAAAAAAAGTATCCATGGACTTCCTATTACAAACGTAAAAATCTTCTCTAGCCTCCATTTGATCATAACAATTTAATCTGCAATTTTCCTTATAATCCAAAGCAAAAGTCTTTTTCTATCACACACATGGCTTCTGGTCAGAGTCCACTGCTTGAGGGTTTTGCTGAGAGTAGCGCCTACATATCAAAGAAGCATTTATCATAATCTGTGAAAGGTTTATGTGTGAGCAACAGCAATGTATAAGTCATTGGTTCCTGGCAGAGCTGTAATAAAATCTACATATTGGCTGCATCCACTTAGGAAATATTCCCCTTCTAAGGATATTTGTTTGCTTTCAGACATTTTGGACATAAATTGTTTTGAAGTTAGGGTACATACCTCTGAGATATTGCCAAAGGACTGCTTCCATCACATCCAAATTCTATCCCCATGAGATATTCTATAGCTGTTTTTTTTTTAAAAAAAAAAAGCAGAGCTATAACATACTAATGATGATAAGGCATTTCCTCAAGATTTAACAAACACACATTCCAAGATAAATTGGATTAGAAAATGGTACGTAATGTCACCATCTGGTGACGTCCCCAAAATGTTACAACTATCTCCATGCCAATAATCAACAATTTATTGTGCCTTAAAGCAAGAAAAGATGATTTTTTAACGAGACATATGGGAATTGTTTTGTAATATTTGATAATCTATTAAAGAACAGTGTATCGGAGTGTCTTTGGGAGTTCTTTGCTTACAACACAGAAATCAGCTGTAACTAAATTAAGCAAAAAGGAACTTGTTGAGAAGAATATGGGATGACCCTCACAATCAAAAGTAAAGCTAAAACAAACAAACAGAAAAACCCCACAGACACCTGAAAGGACAGGGAACAGAGTAGGCTCCTGGTATGAGGTGTCAGGCACTATTTAATGAGTCACCTGTTCAAATTGCCATTGTCATGATGAACAACCTCTGGCTGTTTTTGTCTTTTTGTGCCATTTTCTTTATGATTTCATTTCCAGGAAAAGAGTATCTACTTGGCCTAACTTGTATCACCTACTCAATTTTGCCCAAGGGAGGGCTAGGCCACGTCAATTGACAGTCCCATCAGGACTGCATCCAATGAGACAGAGTATGTGTAGAAGGAAAGGAGGTAGGTCCCCAAAGCAACATCAGGGTTTCCATAATCTGAAGAATAAAAAATGGGTGCTGAGAGATCAAACAACAGACGTCTACACAGACGTCCATGCTTAAAACACTTTGGGAAGCTGAATAAAACCTAAAGGTCCCTCCCCATTGCTCTATCCTCTTCAGCTCTATGTAGAGGCTTACAAATATTGTTAAAAACACTCCATAGACAAGGCCTGGGGTGAAGGTGGGAGATATAATATTTTAAGGGCAATTTGAAAGGAGAGAGGGTATTAGCTTTCAGCTTAATTGGGCATAAAAAAGATCTTGCTTTAGTCACTAAGGCAAAGTGAAAAAGGGAGTAGAGAATATGGGGAAGCAAAAACACACATAAACAATGAAAAGTGAAGGAGATAACTCTATATCTCATAGATATAGAGAACAAACTAGTGGCTACCAGTGGGGAGAGGCAAGTGGGGTTACCATTGGGGTAGGGCATTAAGAGATACAAACTATAAGGTACAAAATAAGCTACAAGGATATATTGTACAACACAGGGAAGATAGCCAATATTTTGCAATAACTATAAATGGAGTATAACCTTTAAAACCTGTGAATCACTATATTGTACACCTGTAACTTATATAATATTGTACAGCAACTATACTTAAATTTAAAAATAATTTAATTTTTAAAAAGTGGAGTGGAAGGAAATAAATCCATTATGAGGGAAAAAAATGCCATGATAGTTACTCCTTCCCTATGAGACCAGAATGGGTGCTTGCCTGTGGTAACATCGCTGCATTCTGCTGCTTAAATGTGACTTCAAAGATACCTAGAACAACTACGAGTTTTGCATTTTCTAAACTGATTCTCCTAGAGCTATCTCTGTCCTCTCTTCTTTGTACCTAAACTGACTTTTTCCTCCTATAATTAATTTAACTTAATCTTGTACTATTATTAGTGATGGTAGAGAATAATATGGTACTACCCTTCCTATAAACATCTCCTCATATGCTTACCATTCTTAAACCAATCCCAACCCTGCTGTGAAACAAGACAAACGATCAAACGACATTCTCCCATCAGTCCTATGTACTCAGCCCTTAAACAAGCTTTTCTGAAAGAAGAGGTGTCACCTTTACTGGGTTCTCAGAAGAGGCAGAGGTCTATCTGTTCTCCGTTCAGAGTGGAAATTATTGTTTTTTTAATATTTATTTATTTGGTTGCACCGGCTCCTTAGTTGTGGCATGTGAACTCTTAGTTGCAGCGTGCACATGGGCTCTAGTTCCCTGACCAGGGATCAGACCCGGGCCCCCTGCATTGGCAGCGTGGAGTCTTATCCACTGCACCACAAGGGAAGCCCCGGAAATGATTTTTTAGAAAGGAAGAATCATACTGAACTGATGGAATTTGATCCCCATCCTTCCTTTTAGATATATGCATGTGAATATCCTCTCACACGAATGCAATGGCAGAGCTTCTCTAGAGCACATTAAGACATCTCAGCCTGAGATATGTTAGCATCTCAGCATCCTAGTTTGGTGGAGAAAGGACAGAAGCCATAATAAGAAGGAGCCGGGGCAAGGGCAGCAAGCAGCCCCCAACCAAATCAGCCAATCATGAAATATAATAATAATATCAGCTAGTATTCACATGTGCTGGACCTCAGGTCAAGTGATTTACATGCATGGTCTCATTTAATTCTCTTATCCACCCTGGCTTTCAGGTTATTTTTCTCACCTACAGATGAAGAAACTAGGGCTCAGAGAGTGAAGAAATATATTCAAGATTACACTTTGTAGGAAGTATCAGAGCCAGAATTCAGACCAGATAATCTGGCTCCAGGACCCAGATTAGAAATGGCTGCCCCCACAAGGGTGATACCCAAGGTTGGAGGTGGAGATGGAGTGCCCACTGTGGCGCGCAGCTGCCTGAGGGTTCTGGGGGAAGCAGGTGAAAGGCCAGCACCACAAGAGGAGTATTTCTGGACTGGGCAGGCTATGGGAAATCCTGCAGGGAGGAGGGTCAAATGGCTGGGAGCCTGGTGTTAAGTCTCAGCAAAAATCCATATGCCAGGGTCCATGTCTGACTGCCTCAGGCAAGTCCAGGTTGAAGACCAGAGACTTGTTACCTGATGGGTGTTGTTCAAGCCAAGCTCACAAGCCAATGAGAGACGAGCCTGGCAACATATCCAGTTGCAAACCATTAGGGCCATGCTCAGTGTCTGGCCCCGAGCCTAGATAAACAGTCACCTAAGAGATCAGAGCCAGAACCAGAACCTATGTACTCCCTCCAGCCCTGCTCACAGCCGGTACCGTGTGTGCCCAGTCACTGTATCCAGCCAGGTCCCGATCCATTCCCTGCTGACCAGAACCCTAAAAACCTGCTCAGCCCCTTCCTGTCCTCTTTTCTCTCCAGTGAGCTGAACCCTGTTCCTTAACCCAGCATCTATTTGTCAGTAACACTGTTTCATTCCAAATACATCCCCCCTGGATTCAACATACTACTAACCATTGATGCTGGTTACCACGACTACTCAGAGATCTTGTTACTGTACTCTCGGTCCCCAAACTGGGCCAGCTGGCTGCTGATGCCAGGCGTGATTAGACCCAGTCTTTCTGGTAATTAAGATGGCTGGCTACGTTCTTGGGCAGGAGCTCCCAAATGGTCACTCCCAATTGTATCAGTCCCTGCAGCTCTAGCCCAGTCTGAGTCTGCTTACTCCCCTTCCCTACCAGCCTATGGATGGGGTCCCCACATACTTGGGAACCAAGCTGGAACACGTCATCATAACACAGGTTGCAAAACAGAAGCCCGGTTTGATGCCCTCTCCTGAAGCACAGGTCACCAGGATAAGGGCCATGGTGAGCTAGCTGGCTCCACAGAAGCAGGGCTGGGAGTCACGGGGCCTCACGTGACCTCACTCCCTATTGCATGCCCTCCCACTTCTTGGCATCTTTTCTGGATGTTCTCTTATTGAGGACCTGCCTTCTCTTACCCTTGCCCAGAAGTCCCCTAGATACCCACTGGCTTTTCCCATTTTGAAACTGCATTTCTTCAATGAGTATTGTTTCTGGAAAAAAAAAATAGTTACGAAAGCCCTTTCTGTGGCTGTCCCCTTAGACAGGGTCTCCACGCAGGTGGGGCCCTGGTACTTCAGGCACGGGGCTATTGAAGCTGATGGCTTCGCTCATGTCAGGCAACATTGAACCACTCCAGGCAAACCTCACAAAGAATAACGTCAGCTTGGCTGTTGCTTATCAGAAGCTCAGACGAAGGAAGTAGTTTTTCCAAAGGTCTGTAACTCTTCCCCTTGAGCCAGGACTGTTAACCTCAGAAATGAGAGTGGGTTTCAGGAGTCTGCAACAGGAATAACTGTATTTATATAAAATGTTTTGAATGTGCATTTTCCTGAAAATAGGGTCCACAGCTTTGATCAGATTCTCCCCCTCACCCATCCTTCCTACGTCCTATCAATATTGTTCCTGGACTACACCTGCACCTGCATTCCTTCTCCATCACCCTAGTCCAAGCTATCAGAGCTGCTGCAATAGGGACTTCCCTGGTGGTCCATTGGTTAAGACTCTGTGCTTCCACTGCAGGGGGCATGGATTTGATCCCTGATCGGGGATCACGCCTGCCACGTGGCATGGTCAAAAAAACAAACAAACTGCTACAATAACTTCCCAGTGGCCTCCTGACCTATGGTCTTGCCCACACTCAACCATCAGACTCAAACTAGGGCCAGAATGATGTTTTAAAATGCAGAGTTGATGGGAGCCGCCTGTTAACTTAGAGGGTTCTATCCTTCCACTCCCAGTCATCCACTAAAATATTTTGCTTTTGCTGCTTTATTTCTTCCCCTTTGCTCTACCCTCTATGGGTGTTCTGCTTTTGCCAGCCTAATTCCCGTGATTATTGTGATCCTGAAACAAGATGACTATTTGGAGAGATGGTACATAGAGAGGAGGAGAAAAAGGTGAGGTCATGGTAAAGCCATGGCCCTATAGGCTGAAAGCTGGGAAAAAGTAAGGGTGAAAGAGGAAAAAGGGGGAATGAAGAGGTGAGGGGGTCCAGAGCTGCTCTGGAACTGTGGAGGATAGACACGGTGGTTTTAAGAAGGGCTGCTGTGTGTTATAAATTACACGGTGTGTTAGTCATTGTGGTGGGTTGAACAATGTCCCCCCAGAATGCATGTCAACACAGAACCTCAGAATATGACCTCATTAGGAAACAGGGTCTTGGCAGATGTGATTAGTTAGGACGGGGTCATGCTGGATTAGTGTGGGCTCTAATACAGCACTGGTATCCTTATAAGAAGGCCATCTGAAGACACAGAAAGATGCACATACACACAGAGAAAGAGGCCATGTGAAGATGGAGGCAGAATTTGGAGTGGCGAACTACAAGCCAAGGAGCACCAAGGATTACCAACAGCTACCAGAAGCTGGGAAGAGGCAAGAGAGAATTTGTCCCTAGACCCTTCAGAGGAAGCCTGGCCCAGCTGACACCTTGATTTCATACTTCTAGCCTCCAGAGCTGAGAGTATAAATTCCTGCTGCCCCTGGGTTTGTGGTACTTTGTTACAGCAGCCCTAGGAAGCTAATACAGTCGTATTACACTGTGGCAAGAAACAAACCCTGAAGCCTCAGGGCCTTAAAAGGGGGGTGATTTCTTACTTACCCAAAGTCTGAGGCAGGTCCCCAGCCCTCTTCCATCTTACATTCCAGAAAGATGACCTCCAAGATCATTGTTGCTGGTAAAGCGAGGACTGAAAGATCACACAAAATGTTTTTGAAAACCAGACCTGAAAATGACTTCCATCATTACTGCCAAACCCAGTCTCATGGTCCCAACCAAGCTGCAAGGCAGGCTGGAAAATGGAGGAGAGCATACCCGATGACCTCTAATGCTCTGCCAAAGATCCCCCTTAAAGGCACAAGTAATGACTAGAAGGACCTTTGGTTGCATTTCATTGACAGTATGTTGCATTTAAATGAGGTGCTGTGGCAAGACTGAGCCCTAGGGTGCCCAGAAGGGACTGGTTAGGTTATATAATCACGTCATTCCCAGATTAGAGCCCTTTATTTTCTTTCTTTTTTTCTCTTAGGAGAAAGAGAAAAATCATTATGCTCTCCAAGATCTATCCTATGTCATCCGGACCCTGCCGACATCTTTGGTCTTAGATGTGACACTTTCTCCCCCAGTCTCTCCTCCCCATCCCATAGATCTTCTTCAGTTTCCTCCAGGGCATTATGCTGCTGCTTTGCACACACAGTGCTCCATCCCAATACCTTCCTCCTCCTACACCTGCTTTCAGACCTCAGTTCGCACACACCACTTGCTAAGTAAAGTCTTAACCTTAATACCACTCCTTCCCAGTCTAAATTGTATCCTTCAGTTATTCTCACACAGTTTCTTATGCTTGCCCTTCTTATTACTTATCGTAGTTTGTCACTCTATGTGCATGTGATTATTTAATCATTCTCTCTTTTTTGCTGCCATTTCTCAGCAATATTGTATTTATTAAAAATGAATGAATGAATGGGTAAATTCTGAAAAAGACTTTGGATTCCCCAAAAAGTTAATTGCTTTAAAGTACTCTAAAAGATGTATTCATTATGATGCTTTTGGCTGCAAGTAAAAGAAATAACAATTCAAAATTCCCAAGACAATATGGGCTATTTACTATCTTATACAATGAGGGTTTCTTAGATAGGGGACTTCCTGGGTTGGTTAATTCAGCAGCTCAGTGACATCATCAAAGACCCAGGTTCTTTCCATCTTTTGTCTCTTCCACCCTCAGCATGTAGCTTATTTCCTCCCATAGTCACAAGGTGGCTGCTGTAGTTCTGGGAAACAAGTAGAAGAAGTGATCTCCTCTCTCAGTACGAACCTCTTTTATCATCAAGACAACCTTTTTCAGATGCTTCCCTGCCAACTGACTTCCCTACAGATCATTTCTACCTCTAAACCAAGCATTGGCAAAGAGAATAAAATTATTATTACTGGTCAAGATTAATAAGGATTTGCTCCTAAAACAGGTAACAGATAGATGGATGGGTGTCTGACCAAAATCCAGATTCTGCTAGCAAGAAAGAGGGATGGCATTAACAGATAAACAACCATATCTGCTACACGTTGGTTGGCAACTTTACAGATGTATTGCCAAATTTTGATCTGAATATAGAATGTATTATATGAATACTTATCTTGATATATTAATAGGTGTCAGATAAAAATGCTACGTTGAGCTAATTGTATTGCTGTGGTACGGTACAGGGTATATTTTCACATGAATAAGAGTCAGGAGGCATCAAATGTTACAAAGATATGTGTGCCGGAACACATGAAAACCTTTTCTCATGAGTAAATCAGAGTACATGTCCAGGACAATGGAGGCATAGGTCTAAAGAGGCACCAAGTGGATTATTTCCTATCTATGGTGTTGGGCTGCACCCCACAGGCCTGCAAGCTCTACTTGCCCAGCCTCAAGCCCGAACAAAGAGCCAGAGTCAGCGACACTTTAATGGATAAGGAGGATCTTACACATCGGAAGCAAGGTCTCGGAGTGACACTCCACCCGCGTGCAGCAAATGGTGGGCAGGACATGGCAGTAGTCTTTGCTGGGGAGTGGGAGAAGGGGGAGAGGGAAGGTACCAGTTATAGAGAGAATTGATGCCAGGGAAACCAACAGAGAGGCACGCCACTTTGATAAACTATCCTGGTGGAGACAGTTCTGATCTAAAGATTAGAACAATCACTAGCTGAGGTCAAGGGCAAGTGTGTTGGCATTCACTGATTAGGCTCTATGAGTAAGAGCGAAGTTCAGTCAAGTGAGTAGAGAGTAGAGTGTAGGTGAAGCAGGGGCTGGTTGAGCAGGGGATGTACACTGAGCAACAGAACGGCTGTCTGGGTGGCCTGATCAAACATATGGTTATAACTTATGCACTAAAACTTCAGCATAGGGGCTCTGGGAGTGCCCCATGCCTCAGTAGCAACAAACATACACATTAACCAGATCTTGGTTTCTACAATAAATGTTGTTCCCTAATAAAAGGAATCAGGGCTCCTTCAAGAAATGACTGATTCTAGGGCTGAGGAGAGAAAATATAAGATGAGTCTATAGCATCCTGTAGTTCCAGAAAGCTAAGAAGTAATCAAAAGACAAAAAGATGGAGGCATATCAAAGGGACACAGGAAAAGCTCCCAGGAGCTAAATCTGGAGCAACAAAATGACTAGTGTGGTATTGCATTATGATCCAAAATGTAAAATAAACATACATAAGTTCATCTTGATATAAATAAATAAATGAATTAAATAAATACCTGGGGAAGAAGAGATAAACCTTCCCTTCAGAAGAATCCCATTTAATATAAGGAGACATTCCCACCTCCAGGAGGTGGACTTTGACCTCCTTGAGTGCGAGCTGGACTTAGTGAATTGCACCCTAATAGTACATGGAAAGGGGGAAAATAGTAACTTTTCAGTGGAGAAAAGGCAAATAACACCTTAACCACATAATCAAGGTTAACTTCACTGATATTGAAGAACGCAGCCCTGATCTAATGTGATGAGAAGGGCACTTGGCCTATGTGGTCCTCTTCCTCCAAACCCATAATTCCAATCTAATCATGAGGAAAACATCAAACGAACACAAGAAGAAGTATATTCTACAAAACACCTGACCAGGGCTCCTCAAAACTGTCAAAGTCATGAAAAGTAAGGAAAAACTGAGATCTGTCACAGACCAGAAGAGACTAAGGAAACATGATAACTAAATGCAATGGATACCCTGCACGGGATCCTGGGACAGAAAGAGGAGGTGGCGGGACGCGTGAAATCCAAATAAAGTCCGGAGTTTAGTTAATGATAATGTGCCCGTGTTAATTTCTATGTCTCCACAAATGTAAGATGGACTTTCCATATTATCTCTGCAACTTTTCTGTAAACCTAAAATTATTCCAAAGTTCAAAATTAATTTTTTTAAAGTGTAATTAAAGAAACAGGTTGAGAACAATTGCTCTAAAATCTATGCTTGGATTAGGCAACAATATCAAAGAACTGGATTGCCTGGGTTCCTGAAGCAAATGGTGTTGCTACTCTGCCTTCACTCTCTCCGTTACAAAATTTTCTGACGGTCATTACCATCAGAAAACTCATATTAAAGGGTATTGCTGTTGTCTGAATGTTTGTGCCCCTCAAAATTCGTATGTTGATTGCTACTTATTAGAGAAATGCAAAGCAAAACTACAATGAGGGGGCTTCCCTGGTGGCGCAGTGGTTGAGAGTCCGCCTGCCGACGCAGGGGACGCGGGTTCGTGCCCCGGTCCGGGAAGATCCCACATGCCGCAGAGCGGCTGGGCCCGTGAGCCATGGCCGCTGAGCCTGCGCGTCCGGAGCCTGTGCTCTGCAACGGGAGAGGCCACAACAGTGAGAGGCCCGTGTACCGCAAAAAAAAAAAAAAACTACAGTGAGGTATCACCTCACACCAGTCAGGGTGGTCAACATCAAAATCTCTACAAATAATAAATGCTGGAGAGGGTGTGCAGAAAAGGAAACCCTCCTACACTGTTGGTGGGAACGTAAATTGGTGCAGCCGCTATGGAGAACAGTATGGAGGTTCCTCAAAAAACTAAAAATAGAACTACTGTATGATCCAGTGATCCCATTTCTGGGCACATATGTGGAGAAAGCTATAATTCAAAAAGATACATTTGCCCCAATGTTCATAGCAGCACTATTTACAATAGCCAAGACATGGAAGCTATGTAAATGTCCATGGATGTGGCACATGTATACATATATATATATAAAATGGAATATTACTCAGCCATTAAAAAAATCATGAAATAATGCCATTTGCAGCAACATGGAAGGACCTAGAAATTAGCATACTAAGTGAAATAAGCCAGACAGAGAAAGACAAATATCACATGATATTCCACATTATATGTGGAATCTAAAAAAAGAAAAAATGATACAAATGAACTATTTACAAAACAGAAATAGACTCACAGACATAGAAAACAAACTTATGGTTACCAAAGGGCAAAGGCGGGGGTGGGGGAGGGATAAATTAGGAGTTTGTGATCAACATATACACACTACTGTATATAAAATAGATAACCAACAAGGGCCTACTCTATAGCACAGGGAACAATACTCAATATCTTATAATATAATGGAAAAGAATCTAGAAAAGGACACACACACATATATCTGTGTGTGTGTTTATGTATAACTGAATCACTTTGCTGTACACCTGAAACTAACACAACACTGTAAATCAACTATACTTCAATAGAAATTTTAAAAAATATTTGTATGTTGAAATCCTAATGACCAAGGTGATGGTATTAGAGGTGATTAAGTCATGAGTGTAGAAACTTCATGAATGGGATTCGTACCCTTATGAAAGAGGACCCACAGAGCTCCCTACCCTCTTCCACCATGTGAAGACACAGCAAGACATCTGCAGTCTGGAAGATGGCCCTTGCCTAACCATGCTGGCATCCTGATCTCGGACTTCCAGCCTCCAGAACCGTGAGAAATAAACGGCTGCCGAATGAGTAGATCTTGAGATGGATTCCCAGGTGCACTTTTAACAAGAATCTCAAAGATAACCTTGCAGGCCATCTTTGCACTACACTTTAAGAAATGCTGGGCTGTTGATCTATAAGGTTCCTTCCTCACTTTAGAAATCTTTGAAGAGATGTTCAATGCTAAAATGACACAGGCATGAACAGCGTGTGTTAATAGATACAA